TGTACTTTATTTGAAATTTCTTATATATATTATTAGAAAAAGTAGGAAAATTCCCATATTCCTTAGGATAAAATTTCTTATATCATTAATTTAATTTTTTTAATAATACCAATATAATTTTTAAGTGTAAATCTTTTGAACTGACTAACCAAATTGACAATTAACCCAAACCGAATGCAACTTGAGTTGGCCGGATTTCACTAATCAATTTCGAGTGACCAACTCTCCAACCTGACCAAGCCAATTTGCTTGGCCAAACAACCTACAACAAACCAAACCAACCCATGAACACTCCTAATTTTAGCTAAATTAATAGTATAATCTCTAATAAATAATAATAGTTTAATATCCAATAATTTTTTAAAATTTAAAGTTAGAATACACTCTTTTTGAAAATAAGTTTATAATGAAAATACAACAAAGAACTTATAAAAATATAATAAATACCATAAATGCAAAAAATATATTAAATGAGTCAATAAATAATGTAATCTCAAATAATAGTATAACCTCTAATAAATATTAAACAATAAATTATAATAAAAATACATAATTACAAAAATAAAATATAACAAAAATACAATAAAAACATTTAAGTACGACCTGTCTTCTTCCTCTCACTCTAACTCGAGTCTAGATAAAATTTATCAGATAAGTCCAAGCCTTTTTATTTGCACGTTGAATCATCTCAGATGTATAGAAGGACCACTGAAACCCCTTGGTGTCATTGAGTTCGAATGATCAAAACACACCCAAGTTCGATCTCTAAATCTCCAAATAACTAGCAATAATTCTTCTTTCTAWATAAATCTATAATGGTTAGAGCATAAACAAGATGTTTCAATGGGATTGGGAGGTGCCGGAGATTTCAAAGGAACTGGTTTGGCAATAACATCATTACCAATTCCCACCACTCCTCCCTCCTCAGATCCCAACTACATCACGACAGAAGGCAAGAAGAAAACAATAAATAAATAAATAAATAAAGAGGAATAAATCATAAAAAAGAAGAAGAAGAAGAAGAAGAAAACAATGCAAATAAAATTGTACTTTATTTGATTTCAATCTGCACTCAATAGGTGAAACAAGGGAGCTTTAGTCTGATCCAATCTTGAGTAGTTTGTCTTCGATGGGGATAGTTTTCATGGGATGCAATCGGAGGAGAACTAGAAGGGACAACGAACGATAGCGAGAATGGAGGAAAAATATAAAAGGGAATGTTGAACGGGAAGGAGAAGAAAGAAGAAAAATCGAAGGAGGTGGTTTTTCTAGGCTGCTACCACTAGTTCTGTGTCGAGAGGAAGAAGGGAGTGAAATAGTGTTCTACCTTCCTTCTTCCTCAATCTTCCCTCACCTGCTTCACTCGCCGTTGCAACTAACAACAACATTAGTTTTTCTTCCTCCCCTATCTTTCCATCGATCTCCCCCTTTTTATCTCTCATTGTCTCCTTTTCTCTCCCTCAGCTTTCATTCTCTATCTATCTCTCTTTTTGTTTTACCTAGAAGAAAACCGTTGTTGCTGAACGTTGTAGCTATGGTGGCAGGTAGAGATGATAACAGGGGAGGGGAAATAGATGGATGGTTGGGAGAGAGTGATAGAGAGATAAAGAGAGTGAGAGAGTAGAAAATAAATAAATAAAATAGAGAGGAGAGAATACGAAAGGTTTAACAGAAGAAGGAAAAGAAGACGAAGGATAATTGGGTTTTAAGTAAAATTTATATGTTACTTGGTGTCATGCGTATATAGATTTTGACGAAACATTAACGAATATTAACGACAAGGGTAGAATTAATCAATTGTCAGAAACGATAGGAATAGTTTGAGACAATAGTTAAACAATAAGGATAGAGTTTGTCAATTAGTTAAACAGTAGTAATTTAAGAAATTTACCCTTAAAAAATCTTTAATCCTACCATTATTATTATTATTTTCCTTTCTCTAAACTCTAAAACTTGTACATAGTGAATACTTATAAGTTATAACTAAATGCATAAAACTTGCTTACAAGTTATAACTAAATGCACAAAACTTGTGGTTCAAGCTCCCTTTAGAAAGAGTGCAAATACAAAAATGCTTGGTATAAATACAAATATGTCTTATTCACAAAAAATGCCAAGTTGATTTAGTTTTTCAATGCCAATTTTGCACCATTGCCAAATAATTTTTAGTTGTAATGGGTGTAAATACCAATTCCAAAAATGGAATCCACCTGCAATACAAATATGTGTGATTAACAAACTTTGCTCTCATTTTAAATACAAATATATCAAATTCATTACAGATGTCATTTGCAATAGATAAATACATTGTGATATACCTACAAAACTGACCTAGAATACATAAATGAACCGGCATTTGCATTCTTTCGGAACAGGAGTGACTACCTGGCAATTAGTTTCGTATGGTAACACATGCCCTTGCGAGTTGCGATACTAAACCTCACCAATTGTTATGTTGTATATTGTGGGGCCTCCATAATTTTATATCTCTAGATGGGTCCACAAATTGCACGCTGAAAATCGATTCCTATCCAACAGTCCCAAGTGCAGTCTATCCTACAACCTGCGATAAAAGATTCCAATCCGATGATTCCCACCAACGAAAATAGTACGACCTTTGTCTTACCCTGTTGTCCTCGGGCATGATTATCCATTGGATTGTCACGATTTCAACAAAGACAACGATTTGTAACCAAACCACCACACATTCCGTGCTCCTTCCCCACAGAGCCTCGGTGACGTTCCGAACTCACTATCTCACAACTCCTATTTTTAGCCACGTGGCGATTCTGCAGAGTACGATCAGCTGATCAGGGTCACCACAGTCGGGCCATAAAATGGAGTGACGAACTCGGTGGGTCCCGTCACCCCAGCATGTCTGCCACGCGTCCCCGCATTGTTCCCGTCTCTCCTCGTTCGTTTCCGAAACGGCACATCGATCGAGTCCAGGTCAGACCAATTATTGATTAGAGAGCCGATGCCCGATGGAGTGATTGATTAACGCAAGCATCCACCTCGACGACTTCTCTGTTTCTTATAAGTTGCAGCCAGCCATGGCGGTTTCTTCTTCTCTGGCTTCAATTCCACCAAAACCCCCATTTTTGAAACCACGCTAACTTCAAGTTATGGTCTACCTGTTGAAGCCCCCATCTCCTTTCCACTCCAGGTTTCAGCGAAACCCTAATTTCACAGCCTCATGGAATTCCCTCTACCTTTCTGTCTTTTCGCATCTCTGTTTCCATCTTCTCTTCCAAAAACCCTAGCTATGCTATCTGAGATCTGCCTAAATGACCGGGGTTTGAAAATTTATAGTTAAATGTATCCGAAATTTGGTTTTTGATTTAGTCTTCTTGAGTCAGATTCAGAGGAAACTGTACTTTTCGCTGTTATGCGTTCTTTGTTTGCTCCATGCATTGGTTTCTTATAGTCTGAGGGTTGGGGGTTTGTCATCAATGGCAATTGTGACAGGAGATAGGTACCTTGATTATCTGGTGAAGTTCGTTGACAAACAAGCGGGTCCTTTGCTCGAAGGAACTTTGGTTTTGAAGCTAAATCCAGTCGGGCTTCACTATGTTCAGTCAAGACTCGAAGCGTTGCAGGAGCTTGAGCGTCTTCTAGCTGCTGCTCCCATTGATTACCTTCGGGCTTATGTTTCTGATCTCGGGGACCACCGGGCGCTCGAGCAGCTCCGGAGGATTCTCAGGCTCCTTACTTCTCTCAAGGTTGTTTCGGTATTTCCGCCGCCTGCTAGAGATCCGACGCCTTTATCTTTATTGCCTTTCGGACGCCTCAAGTATTTGGAGCTCCGCGGATGTGATCTTTCAACTTCGGCCGCAAGAGGACTACTGGAGCTGAGACATACTTTGGAGAAGTTCATTTGTCATAATTCTACTGTAAGTTTGATTTTCTTGTATTGTAATCTATTTGATTATATTCTGGGGTTCCTTTATATGACTGTGTGTACATACCAGTCTCCAAACATTTGATTTGTGTTGTTTCTTCAATAATTTAGGATGCTCTTCGACATGTATTTGCCAGTAGAATTGTGGATATAAGGAAATCTCCTGTATGGAATCGGTTGTCATTCGTTTCATGTGCATGCAATGCATTGGTTCTCATGGATGAGTCTTTGCAACTGCTTCCTGCTGTTGAAACGCTTGATCTAAGTCGAAACAAATTTGCAAAAGTTGATAATTTACGGAAGTGTACAAAGTTGAGGTTCCTGGATCTTGGGTTCAATCACTTGAGGACAATCACATCATTTAGTGAGGTTGGATAATTCGCATTTTACTTCAGTATTTTGTGATTTGATATCACCATTTTGTTCAGTGGTGTAGTTAATTTCTATTACATAAATTCGAATCTCTTTTTTAGATATGTTCTTTTTCTTCTGTTTCTCTTTATACGCCATTAATGCTTTAAACAGGTAAAAGATGATAAACATATATAGCTCTCTTATTGATCATGCAGAATGTGAACTGTTATTTGTATAATACAGAAAAACAAGCACATGAAGATCTTTTCTAAGAATCTAAGTAGTCTGATCTCGTGGTTCATACACCTTTGGAGGAACTTTTTAGAATGGCAACCTTGAGTGGAAGTAATAACTAACATGCATGTGGACATCATGTATCACAACCATTGTCATCCGATCCTTGGTAGCAGAAATGCTATACAAGAGACCCAGATTAGAGTATTGTTTTTCATTGCAACAGCAGAACGACATCATTTAGAATCCTATTTTTGGTCCAGTTTAAGTTTTCGGAAGAGTGGAACAATCATATTTTCTAAGGAAAGAGATATCCTAAATCCCAGCTCATTTATATTGCATCTGTCGAGTTGTGCCTTGAATTCTTTGCTGCAGCCTGCTCCATGTTCTGACCCACATTTGGGGAGAGAAACCTAGAAGGATTTTTTGGGCAAATTTCTTAAACTACCCGTAAGGTTTAGGAAATTGACTAACTATACCCCTGCTGTTTCAGTATTGTCTTAAAGTACCCCTACTGTTTCTAACAATTGTCGACCTCGTTAAATGGTAATGGAAAAAAATAAAATGTCGAATTTGTCCTCCACGGTTTCTCAAATTTTCAAAATAAAATCCAACTGCTGAATTTTTTAGAACCCAATATTACCCTTCATCCCTCTTCTGCCAGGTAAGGATCACCATCACAGTGTTCCTTCGCTACCTTCACCTTCACAGTGTTCATCGTCCCTTGAACAGTTCTATATCGGAGCTAGGTTTTTCTCTAAAGGCCATGAAGCAGCGGAGAGATTCGGCTGAATCGGAGGGATCAACAAAACTGTTGAGTTTAGATCTTTCTCGCTTTCTCTCACACTCGTAAACAGGATAAGCCTCTAGCCTCCTCTGTGTTGAGAGGTAGAGAGCAAAGAGCAAAGAGCAAAGAGTCTCCATCCCCACTCTCAAAGAAAGAAGCAACGAAAATAAAAAGAGCCGAAATGCGATTTTTTTCGTGAATTTTAGCATTCACGGTGGAAGATCATCCCCACCTCTGAAAACTAAATTTTCTTCGTTTCAAATTTGGTAGCTACTAAATTCTTTGCTGAGAAATCTTGTTTAATGGCGGTCATTTCAAGCTCTTTGGTTCCGATGGATGCTGAGGATCAACTGGACTTGAATTGAGAGAGAGAACAGATTTCCCCCTCCATGACCACACCCCATTCTCCATGCACCATCAAATCACCCTCATAGCTATAGCATCACTGATTATTTTTTAGCCAGTCCCACTGCGGGCTTCTCCATTTGGATGATTGAGTAAAGAAGAACTATGAAGCAACAATTAGTTCACTACACTGCATCAACCAAAATCCAAAATTGTTGTTTAGTAACCTTCACACCATTTCCGATGACCAATTGACTTGTATTTAGTATTTTGGCTCCCATCGTTGTCTCCTCTCTACAAGATACCTAGAGAAAGACACTTGAGAAACGTTGACACAATGGATCCAATCCATCATCTTCCAAGCACAATCACCTTTTTCTAAAGAGATTCACATAATATCACTTTATCCTTAACCAATCAATCTGTATTATGTTTTCACAGTTGGTTCAATCTCTCCAAAAGCAAAACCAGTGTCCTAAGGTAATGCTGAAATATGTTCGTTGTCTTTCAATTTTTTTTGGAATAAGAGTTCAGACTTAATCTTTGTTCCTATGCATGAATTGATGGTGAATTAGATCACCAAATGCTCTGGCAATTATCCTGAACCAATTTTTTTTTGCATTAAGTTCTTGCATGTATTTTTGTGTCTACAAGATGCCGGGTTATTTTATTGATTTTCTTCAAGTCGTGTCATCATTTTTTTCTCAAGTTGAAGAGCAGCTGCCATTTTGTTTCCTATTTGAGAGCCTAATGAGAGAGGCAATTAGGAGTCTGAGATGGGTGAGAGTGTGAAACGAACTTCAGTATTGGCACCAGTGATTTAAAAGGTGCGCCTAGGCGCATAGGCGAGGCACATTTCAGGGTATGTGCCTCGCCTAGGTCCTAGGCGCTGCCCTTTCAAAAGGCGCATGCCTACGCCTGATGCACCTTGCGCCTCAGCCCAGGCGTGCGCCTTTTGAAAATTTGGCACTTTTTTGCTGTTTTTTGAACATAACGGCTGAGCCCCCGGACCCCCATGCCATGCCCCTCGAGGCAAGCCCAAACAAGTCCACGTTAGGTCTTAAATTCTTAGTTTTCACACAAAAAAAATAATGATGTTATAGTTTTGATTACTTTTTAGGAATACATTTTATTGGTAATGTTGTTCATTCATTCATCCTAATAAAAATGTATTCCTAAAAAGCAATTAAAACTATAACATCATTATTTTTTTGTGTGAAAACTAAGAATTTATGACCTAACATGGACTTGTTTGGGCTTGCCTCGAGAGGCGTGGCACAAAGGCGGCTCGTAGAATCAGGAATGTAATATGTTTTACATGCTTGAAAATGTTTTATTTGTTTGATTTTATTTTTAAATTATCATTTGAATATGCTTTATATCTTATGTTTATGTATTTTAATTTTAGATAATAGGTTTTTTTTTAAAACATTATTTTAAAATTTAACTTTATATTTTTTAGTAATGTTATGTTTTATATTTTTTGATTTTTTTGGCTTTTTTTTTAATTTTCTGACATTTTTTTGATTTTTAGCATTTTTTTTGTAATTTTGCGCCTTGCTTCAAAAAGGCGCGCGCCTTGCCCTGCACCTTGCACCTTAGGGGCAAATTGATCCCTGCGCCTTGCGCTTTTAAAACACTGATTGGCACCACCTGCATCGCTGCTGGATTCTGGGTTCAAGGTTTACGCCATGTTAGTTTGCTTTTATTTCACAGTTCTCTATGTTGCTACCTTTGTAGGACCCGAGAGCATGCGTCTTGCCTGCATATTCGGGCTGCCACTGGCCATATCTGCAGATAGCAAGAAGCAATCGACTCTTGTTTTTTGCCTGCCAGATGTGGAGATGATGAAACATGGGAGAGAGAACAAAGGGGAAGAAGGAGAGAGAGAGGCTAGAGGTGGAGGGGTCTGTTGCTGCAATGAGTTGCAGCGACAGTGATGAAACAAGGGAGAGAATGAAGGGGAAGAAGGAGAGAGAGAGAGAGAGAGAGAGAGAGAGAGAGTGAAGGGTAAAATTGGGTTTTAAAAAACATATGCCACATGGTTTCACATGTGTACAGAATTTGATGGAATAATAACGGATGATAATGGTAAGGGTAGAGCTAGTCGATTATCAGAAACAGTAGGGTTACTTTAAGACAATATTGAAACAGTAGGGGTATAGTTAGTCAATTCCCTAAACCTTAGGGGTAATTTAAGAAATTTGCCCTTTTTTCATTGAGGTCTGTGGTGGGTGTGGAGGGCTTTGTATAGACCTGACCGGTCTTCATCTTATGGATCTGATCTGGCATATTATGTTCCTAAGGCGCCATTCTCCCGCATATGAATACTCATTGTATATATTTTTTTGATAATTGTAAAAATTTATTAATCAGCAATAGACAATAGTACAAAGTCCCCGAGGAGAGGCACGAGTTGCAATCTCTCCGGGCTAGTTAAGTACAAATTTCCAGATTACTAATAACTTACAAAGTAGCACAAAAAAGATCTTCCCTAGAAACCCCCTGTTTGGCTAAAGAATCAGCCATAGAATTAGCAGACCTGTTAACCTATTTTACCTCAACTCTCATATTGCTGGTTAACCACTTTATTTTTTTGATGAGATCTTTGTAGCCCCAAATGGTAGTATTCGGGTTTAAAAGCCACCCTGTTACCACCTGAGAGTCCCCTTCAACTAGGAGATGCTCCACCCCAAGCTGGTTAGCAATCTGAATTCCTTGTACTACAACAAGGATTTCTGCCCTTGTGGAATCCCCCACTCCCACCGGTCCTGAGAATAAGGAGATTATGTTTTTCTTTTTTTTTTTTTTGATAATTTGAATAAGGAGATTATGTTGCTGTCCTTATTTCTCAGGATACCCCCTATACCTGAAGGTCCGGGGTTACGTTGGCTGCTTCCATCAAAATTCAACTTGATGACACTTTCCAAAGGAGGAACCCATTCTGACAAAATTCTATTCTTCTTTGTTGAAGTGTTAGCTATTATTAACCAATTCCTCCACAAGTCATCAAAGGAGAAATCATCAAACATATCTAAGGTTTTCAGCCAATGGGTTGTTCTTGTTAGGATGTAGTCCTTCACTTCATCTAATCCTCTTTCCTTCTCTAAGAAGATTCTTCCATTCCTTTCCTCCCAAAGAGTCCATAAAGTGGCTGCCCTGACACATTTCCACATAACCTTGCCTCTTCTAGTGTGCCAAACAAAAAAAGATGGGTTAAATAACGAGCTTAAATTAGAAGGCAAAGACCACCTACCTTCAAATAAACAAAGGCTCCAATTCCATAAAGCTGTAGAAAAGGAACAAGAGATCAGCAAATGGAAATAGTCCTCATTCTCGGCCTTACTCAAGGAACAACAATTTAGGGAAAGACAAAGAGAGGGTCTCTTTTTCTGTAAGTTTTCCAAAGTATTGATTTTCCCATAGTAGACTTCCTAGCAAAATACAACAATTTTTGGGGGAATAGGTCGTGCCTAGACTTCTTTGAAAGGGAAGCTTTGGGAAATGGGGTTAGAATTGAGGGATTTTAGAAAGGAAGAACAAGTAAATGTACCTTTTGGAAGAGGAGTCCAAACTCTTTGATCAGAAGAAGTGGGGTCCAAACAAACAAATTCTAGTAAATGAACTAGCTCAACAACACAACTCAAGT